CTCTCTCTCTCTCTCTCTCTCTCTCTCTCTCTCTCTCTCTCTCTCTCGCTAGACGTTTGCCTGGAAGCATAAAATGCCATTCAAAGCACCCAGGATATTTCTGCTTTGAGGGATGTCTTTCTTGAACAGCTGCTTTTTCTCAAGCCTCCCCAAGGCCAACCTCTGCCCCACCAGAGAGAGCGTAGCACTGAGCACTCTGCTATGGCCTGGAAGGCAGCCCTGTTCTGAGCCTCTCTGTCTTCACTTATCCTGGCCTTGAGGCTGCTAGATCTGGGGAAACCGAAGGCTCTCTGAAGACCAGGAATCACACAGCCTCCCCTGCAGAGTGCCCTCTCACAGCCCGCATGCTGCCTCACGTCTCTTTGTCCATTGGAATGTAATATGTAAAAAACAAAGAAAATCTTCGGTCTATACTGACAAATCTACCACTTGGTAACAGTCTCTTTTTTTTTTAATTAAATTTTTAATGTTTTAATTGAAGTAGAATTACATCACTTCCCCTCCCTTTCCTCCCCCAGCACCTCCCAACAACTCTCCATCAAACCCCTTCCATGCTCCCCAATTCAACCTGATAGTTTATTTTTATTTGATTATTATTGTCGCATGTATGTACGTATATATGTGTACATGTCTGTATGTCTGTATGTGTGTATACATACATATGGACTGTTGGGTCCACTTTCACTGTTTGTGTGCATGCAGTTTCCAGGCTGACCACTCTGCGTAGGATAACCAATTAGGGGCCTCGTCCTCTTAGTGAGACACGGTGGGAGAACTTGACAGCAGTCCCATTATTATTATCTGAATGTGAACTGTCACCAACAGGATCAGATTTGGTAGCTTGATTGCCAGATGGTGGGATTTTGGAGATAGATTGGTCCCTTGGTGGAATCAGAATATGGTGATGCTATCGGGAATTAGTACACAGAAGCCTGAGAGCTCTTTGCAAAATAGGACTGAAGTTCTCAGTACTGTGGGTGATAAACACAATAACATGAATCAGTGATAGCAGCTGGGGCATATAATGTCTCAGGACGCTCAGATTCTTTCCTCTAACTAGATTTCCTTGTCTGGCCCCAATGGGAGAGGATGTGCTTAGCCCTGCAGGGACTTGATATGCCAGGGTGAGGGGATACCCAGGGGATGCTATACCCTCTCAGAGGAGAAGGAGAGTGAAGGCTAATGGGAGGGACTGTGTGAGGGGGAGACAGGTGGGGATGGTGATGAGGTTGTAAAGTGAATAAATAAATAGATTAATATGGAAAAAGATGCCCAGGTTCGAAAATGGGGGGGGGGAGGGTTACTCTCCATGTCTCCCTTACCTGCACAAGCCAATGTTTTCAGTTTGGCACTTATTCTGATGACATGCTACAGTCTTTGTAAATTTCCTTTTGTGGGGCAGAAATTCTTGAGTCCTCTCGTATACTCAACTTTTCATTTAAACATTACGAAACATCATCCTCAATAACTGATCTTTTACTTTGGCTTATCCAAGAGAACAGAAAGTCCTCAGAACACTTGGACATATGTAGTATATGTTAGTTGAATTATAGACAGGAAACTGTTTCTGTAGAGTATACTTTTAATGAGAACATATTGTTATATTTGGGCTATGTGCTATTCTTGCTGAATAGAAACCTTTACAAGAACACATACACATTTATATCCAAACACCAAATGAAATATATTGCTTCAATGACCAATTTTGCACCAGAAATAAAATATATTATACAAAACAGGGCTATATCCACAGTCATTAGTCCTTGCTTTCTACACAAAACAACAATAAATTAAATCACATTATATGCAGATAGTTCTACTTACATTAGAATAGTAAGCTATGTGTAGCTGGTGTGGCTTTGACATTTCCACCGGATTCAGGGTAAGTTTGTACTGTTTGATGGTCCTATATTTAAATTATCCATGAACAAAATGGCTCAAAAGACACAAGCTCGTGGGACTGACCTTCTGCAACGCCTAGCTCATGAGCCCCTGGTTTCAGTTATGCACAGGGAACAAAGCTCTGATTCTGGCCTGCTGAGAACACTTCATTGCTGACTTATAAGCTACACCACATTGAACACGTTCAGACACAGGCATTGAATAATGAATAAGATAGTCCATGTCAAAACCCATGTTTTCCTCTTTCTTTGCAGAAATAACTCTTTCTCTATCCAATAATAAGTATACACTTTGACAGCTTTGTTCTAGAAAATAAAAACAAACTTGGTAGCCTGTTATAATTCACACTTTGGTCAACGGACCCTTTGTTCCTGTGCATATAAATTTATGTCTTTAAATATGAATCAAAGAAATGGAACGTGTCTTATTAACTATAAAGTCTGCTTGTTCAAATCTCTCCACTAGGAATCATATGATACCTGATAGACTGAAGAGTTTTGTAACACGTTTATTTTTACCTCCGAGAGTCAGCTCTCATTGAAATCCTTTCGATTATGTTGGAAGTGACGTAAAACAGAAACACCAGCATCAGCTGGCTCAGAATGCTCCGAGTTTGGGGTGAATTAACATTAGTGGTTAATGAGAGATTTGAACAACTTCCAACTTGGTGCCTTTTGAGGATTATTTTCATCCCATAGGCCTGCAGGAGACATCTGAGAAATTCATATGCTGAGAACAAAGCCAGGCTCCTTAGCATACATGAAAAGCACAGACGAGAACTGTCCAAGGGCATACATGGTCAAGTTACTGTCAGGCTTCTGAGGAGAAGCCAGCTACCTCCTCACAGAGGTGCTAGTTTGTCTTTTTCTCTGAGTAAATGTGCAGTCCTCCTCACAGGTTCCCACCTGCACGGAAAAGGTGCTAACATATCCATAGAGATGTGATGGGTGGCAGATGGAGCTCTGGGAAGAACAGTAGAGCCCGTGTCAGCGGCAAACTTCTCTCTGTCACCCTGGAGACATAAGCTCCTGGTTCTTCTCTCTGGGCATGTCCAGCCCTTCTTGTGGCACTGGCTATTGAGGAAGGTCTAAACTGTTCATTATTCTTCCATTCTAAAGACCAACTGGAAGAGCGACGGATCCCTCCAGTGCCACTGGCTCATTCTCCCTACTTCTCTGCTGCCCCTAAAGCATCCTGTGTTTCTAGACAGTTTCTGTTTTTTTCACTGAATGAGAAATTCAGCTCATTAATAGCTTTCTTCTGAAGTCCTGAACCTCTGGGTGTAACTACACAAACAGGTAGAGGGCCAAATTTCAATTGACATTTGCCTTTGTAGCTGCACCCATTAGGGACTTGAGCTCTTTGTGTCTCAACAAACATAGGTCCTAGGATTTTCCAATTATAAACACTATTCTTTCGTTCTCTTTTTCGTGTGTGTGTGTGTGTGTGTGTGTGTGTGTGTGTGTGACGAATTTAAAAAACCTGCACAAGTAGCCCTGCTTCAAGAATCAATGGTGCCACTGGAAACCATTTCTGAACCCACTCTCTGTCTGAGCTATAAAAGGCCTCCCTTTTTCACTTCCCACTGCCTGTCTTAGACTCCTATAATCAGTCCCAACCAGAAGAAAAGAGGTAAGTTAGGGACACAGAAGGTAGATGTGCCTTCATCAAAGGCACAGGAAGCCTATAAGCAGGGGGAAGTGACTTGGCATTCCAAAGTTTTTCATTCAAGAGAAAGAGGAAGGAAGTGGGGATGGGGCGTCTGCTCTCATTCCATAGGATTCTCCCTCTCCTCCATGAATTCTGAAATGTAAACAACTATTTCAAGACATGTGGAATTCTGTCTGTGGTTCAGGAAAAGACACACTTACTGTTCTTGAAAACAGTACATGTTGACGGATTCAGTGTGAAACCTCTGTGTTGGGAATAGATATGACTCTATCCAGAAAGTTTTATTTCTGAATTCAGCTTCTCTCCCAAATCTAAGACAATAATATTGGCTATAAAATTTGTGTTTCTTTCCATCACCATAGGTATATTCTTATTTTAACTTGCATATGAACTTATATTTGACCAAATATGAAAAATATCAATAAAATACTCCCCCCCTTTGAAACCTTGATCATTGGATTTAAGAGTAAAAAATTTATAGAATGGCTTAAGAACTAAAGACCCATTTTGTTTATTATGTAATAGTTGACTACTGGTACATTATGAAGGACCGATTGCCAAAGTTGTTGCTTAGCAGTTAGGGATTTAAGTTCTACAATACAATATCAATCCCAAGGCCACCATGGAACAAACATCTATACTCTCAGAGAAGGTTTCCCAACTTAGTGGTGTTTTCAAAACTTAATGATGTTTTGGCAACTCATATGAAGACTTATTCTTTCTGAGACAAGGTCTAACTGTGTAACTACGGCTGACCTAAAACTCACTATGCAGACCATCCTGGCCCTAAACTCACAGATATCCCCCTGCTTCTGCCTCCCAAGTGCTGGGTTTAAAGACACGGGCTACCTTGCCTAGCCATGTAAAGACATTCAAAAAAGACAAACTATACAGTAGAGATGTAAATGAGCAATCAACCTTAATAATATTAGAAATGACTCCAGGGACCTCATGATTCACCCTGTTTTTTAAAAATAAAATAAAAAGGCTAGCTCCCTTCTCATCTTTAAGATCTAATCTGGGAATATGCTATTAACCTTGGAACAATTCCTCTAACTGGAGCAGAAATAAAAGATACTTGTTGTAACAATGCTACCATTAATGGGCCACTATATAAATTCAAGAAAGGATTAGACACATTTACACCCAAAGAACATAGCCAGGTAGAGAACTTTCCCTAATGCCATCCTCCTGTAATTAACACACAGGTTCAAAAAATAAACATTAAAAAATGAATATCTCTGAAACACAGGGAAAACATCATTGAACATGAAAGAGAGAAACAAGCAGCCCTCTGGTTCTGAGAGCTGGGGTGGTTGCCATCTGCCTATCTGTCTTCATTATGTGAGTCCCTAACCATCAGCCTCTGCCTTCCTGAGTTGTGCTCCACAAGCTCGCCTCCTGGATTAGCATTTTGAAGTTTACCTTTCTGGCCTACTCTTTCTGCTCTTTCTGAAGTCAGCACCTTTCCCTCAATATCCTACATGCAGAACCACAATGTACCTCCTTCCATTCTTCGACAGCTAATTCATTTTATCATGTGGTTTGCATCTCATTTCCTGAGCCATAAAGAAGTTCACCCCACACAGATGCAGCCCATTGACTTTGACTCAATGAGGTGAAGGTAAGAGAATACGGTGTGATACACTCCTTCTCCAGAAAGCTAGCTTCCAGAGCTTGCTCGACTTCCTCCACAGTTACCTGCATGGATATGTATGACCTCCAAGAAATTATTTAACTTCTCCCCTTTAAACTGTGTTTCAGATGCTCAAAATGTCACCAAGAAAGGCATAATTACAAGTTGATACCCTTGTTCTCTCCTCAAACGATAAAGTAGGAGCCCGAATTTAAACTGAGTGCAAAGAGGATTGCCAGCCAAAACCTGCTTAGTCTTGACCATGCTGCCCTTGTCTGTTCTAGCTCACTGTCCAAGCTATGTGCGATTTGTGGTGGCTGCAGAAGTCTTATGAGGTTAAAGGGACACAGCAGATATCAACATTTCCTTTAATCAAAATCATCACCTCAAATTTTGATTAAGCCGCATGCAATTCTTTAAAATGTATCACCACTGTGTCTTGCTGTCAAATTCTGTCTGCTTGTTCTTGAGGGAAAGGAGATGCATTTCTTCATAGTCTCTGCCTAAGTCTACTGGTTTTGAAGAGCATCACTTGGCCATAGTTAGAAGGGATGTAGCCCTCCAATAACATACATTTAAAACAGTCCAAAATGAACAACAGCTTAACATCAATGTATTCCTTCAGAGTTTTTAAGCTGAACAGACTTCTGTGCATCTTCAGCCAGAGCAGCAGTTTGTATTGGCCACAGCCAAAGAACAGAGGACAGCAGAGAAAAAGAGAATCACTCTTTCCTCACCACAGATTTGTCACACACCTCCTCCGTGCTCTTTAAACTATAAGTGAAATTTAATCTTCAAAATGAAAAAATAGACACATTTCTAATACCAAAATATAAGATTAAAATACTTAAAAATAAAATGTTAGTGTGAAGTAGGGCTTTCTTTTTACATAATAAAAGAAACATTTTTAGACTCATTTTTCTTATATAAATCCTCCTAGCTCACTAATATTTACAGTTTTCCAGAGTAGCTTTGATGAAACACTAAAAGAGACAGGGAAGACCCTTTCTTAAGCTATGGAGTCAGACCTGAATGTGGGCGTTGGACGCAACCCTCCTCAACCACAAACCTGTCTCCCAGTTCCAGAGAGAGGGGCACTGCATTCCCAGCCTTGAGACTTCTTTCATTCCATTGTCCTCTTATTGGGTGTTAAATTCTTTCCAAGAATATTCTACTTGTAAAAATTGTTTTATTCTAGCTACAAAACATTTCATTTCAGAAAAACCACATTTTTATATCCTCTTGTGAAATGCTCCCAAAGCAATCAAGATATGCAGACACCAGACTTTCAAGACATAAACCTACTCCGATGCCCCTCCAGCAGCTAGAACACTTAACGGGATTACGTTATATCATTATATTTGTTTGCCATGAGATGAAAGGCCAGAAGGCAGATAGTGATTAATAATCATTCCTGAGCTTCTAAAGAAAATTTAAAATGAAATGACTACTATTTAGAAGAATGAATTCTCTGAGAACACCCTTTCTGTTCCGTTGATGTTTGTCCTTCCATCTATCTCTTTAAGGAATCTCAGGCAGACAGAGTGAGAGGGGCATATCTTTTAAGCCACAGAAAAATGTGATCTGATGGAATCTTCCCGTAACTCTCGGTGTTTCCCGATGTTGCTTTCCTCTTGCTGATTTCGCCTCTCAATGGTTATTCTGTATTTCTTCCTGGGTAAAAGCAAAACAAATGTAATAATAAAACCTCACTTGACTGTAAAATACTATGGTTCCTCTTACAAAGAGTGCCCTCCAGGGACATCTGGGTTAGGTTTGATAAATGACAAGTGACACAGTATGAAACCCTGGTCAGAGATTAAAGTCCTGTGCCCCAAGGCATCATGTCCTTACTAAGGGAGGAAAATTGGCATGCTTTCTGAAATGCCACAGAACAAGCCTTCCCCTTCTTCCCTGGGAGCCTTATCTATGCTGCCCCAGAACCTCTGCTTGACTCCCAGGATATGCCCTCAGATAAAGATCAGACTAAGTGTACTGTGACCAAAGGAACAAGAACACGATTGTTCCTACAAAGAGCCACATACACCCAGACTTACATCTCCATGCAAAAATGAAGAAATATTACAAATAAACCTTGACAATCTACAATGATCTACGAATTCAGCCACTGAAGATTACAAAAGGATGGGCCACTGTCACTGCAACAAATGACACGTGCAACTTATAAGTTTATGAGCCTTGACATTGAGCCCCAACAACAGCTAAACATGTGACTTCCCCAAATACAGAACATACTGCAGCCTGGGATCACAGACCACTGGGAGTTCCTTCCAGCCTTTCAAGTGAAAATGGGCACTTGTTTCTAAATCAAAGAAAGCCCGAGGATAGGAAGTTCATTCTTTGTCCAGATTTCCTCTTCATGTTTGTATTTGATAGGTAGAAGGAATTCTCATAAACGGATCAATGATCCAGAGATCCCAGCCACTTTCTCGAAAGTACCGTAGGAATCAAGGACTCACTGCCTGCCAAACCCAAGATCGAGCCGAAGAATGGCTTTGATAATTTAACCACCATTTTTCTTGTTTAAAAGAAAGGTGTGGGCAAATCACAAGGAGCATTATGCAATGACAGGAGACAAAGGCAAAAAAAAAGGCAGAGTGAATTTTAACTCCATAAATGGTCCCTACCTGAAAAAGTAGAAGGCCATTAGCAAACCAGCACCTAGTAGGGCCCCCACAACAATTCCTGTCACTGCGGATTCTTCTAGGCCACCTGCTTGAAAAGAAACATCAATAATCAGAGTTCATTTTGAGAAATAAGTAAAAATACTTTGTTTTTTGTTCATCTTCCAGTTGAAACTGGCTTTCCTTTCTTTTTAATATGTATAATATATTGTAATGTATATTATTTATATATAATATTTAATGTATTACATATAATATTATATGTGATATATAATGTAAAGTATATGTGTGTGTGTGTGTGTGTGTGTGTGTGTATAATGTTCTGAGAAAAGGTTTCTAGAAAACACTAGATAAATGCACTGTAACTTGAGAGTGATCAGAACAAGGTCAGAACAAGTTCAAAGTTCGGCCTGGGACAAACACCAATCATCCTAGCACTTGGGAGGATGAGGCAGAAGGCCCTCAAGTTTGAGGCCAGCCTGAACCACATAGCAAGATCTGTGACAGGGTAGGAGAACGGAGAGGACAAAGGGGAGGGAAGAAAAGAGGGTCTGAGAGAATAACAGATGGAGAAAGAGGCAGACTCAAGGCGGACTTGACGGAAGCTGCAAACTGACGATCTCACACACACACATCCATCCTGGATTTGGATGGACAAAGGCACTGGCCCAGCACTTCTGTTTCTCACAGGTGGGTGGTGAGACTTCAAAGTGCTAGAGAGTTCAGGGGAGATTGCATTGGGTCAGTATTCTGTTTTTAGATGTTCTCTCACCAAAGCCAGAGTTCCATCACAAAATGGCCTATATAGCTTTGTGAAAATGTAAACCATTTGAATTAAATCTTTCTCAGTAGGATCTTGGTTCTCAAAAAAAATAAAAAATCAACAGCTACTTTCCTTGCAGAGTTTAGACTAAGCCTACAGTCTATGGATTCCTTGCCTCCTCAGATCAAAGCTGGGTAAATTCCCTTTACACATGGGAAATGTGAGACTTGGGGAGTTGAAGGGAATCTCCTAGGTTCCTCAAACTGACAAGAAAGAAAGTGAGATTTGGGATTCAGGCCTGGCAATTATGTGGTCAACACACTTTCTCCTTAATTCTTTCTCAAAATTATCATGTGGATATAAATTCCTCATCATTCAAAGATGGTCCTGAGACATAGTGACCATTCATATATTCACCTAAAATTACTAACTGGCCTGCAAGATTGATGTCACTTGTTCTTACTCATAATTACAAAGCCCCTCAAAGACAATCATCCCCTAACTATTGCTGGACTATTCATAAGAAGACACACTTGCTTCTCTATCTGCACCCAGATACTGACCGTTAGTAATATATTCAATACTTATTTACCACTTTGCAAGTTGTCAAGCATTTAAAGGCACCATCTGCCGGGTCCTGAGGATTTGGAGGTCAACTGTGAACTTTGAAATCAATATTGAAATTTCTTACAAGAGGTGGACAACAGACAGCTAATAGCATTTTTTATTTTTCCTAAAAGTGAAAACCTCTAATAACTAAGAGACTGTAGTGAGAGATACAAATCCAGGCAGAATATACTACCATTTGTAAGAATAGAATAAAGGAAAGAAATATGGAAGCTTTTGGTAAAAGGAAGAGGGTCTGCCATTTGTGAGCTGTTTCCGTGGGTTTGAAGACATCAGAAAAAATGCATAGGAGCTTTCAGAACATGAGTTCTTGAGAGAAACGTGTTCCGGACTCACATGACCCTGGGACTGGAGAAGGACAGTGAGTTAATTAAGTCTCTGAACTTACATGATTTGCAAGGAGAGCTGTTGGTATGCTCCAAAATCCTGGTTTCATCGATTCTCAGTTTCAAAGGGCCCCAAGGATACTTGACGTTCGATCGCATTTTGAACCGACCTTCTTTTCCAAAGTAATCACCAATGACCTACAGAAAGGTAAAAATCAGACAGACGAAAGCTAAGGCCAAATGTACCTGTTCCCAAAGGAGGCACAAAGCTCACAGCCTTGCAGGAACTCTCCAAAACACACGGCCTGACCTACACCTACACCTACACCGGCTGCCTCTGCACTACACCGGCTGCCTCTGCACATCACCACCTTCAGGAATTGACAGCAAGCACTTCAGAAGTGCATGGGAAATGGCAAGAATGCTCCCGTGTTGTGCACACTGTCACTGCTTCCGCATGGCTCCTCCTGGCAGGGAAGAAGGTTTAGAAAGGTGTGGACACAACAGACAGTGCCACCTGAGGTCCATCTGGAGGTCACAGCCTACCAGTGCTGTCCCTAGATATTCGTCAGTTGCCGATGCATAGTAGGAAGGGTGGATTTTCTTAATTTCCCCACGAAACAATACTCGATAAACTTACAGGTGTTTCCCTTGCTCATCCCATAGGGCCTTGTCTGGCCTTCTGCCACAGAGCAGTCCACACTGTCAGCCATGTGTTAGGCCCGTTTCCCTTAGGGATATGGGACAGAGCCAATGCCACTACGTACACACTCAAGTTAAGCATGTGACAGGTACACAGCCCACATTTCTCAGTTAGATAGATTTATATTATATTACATTACATTACATTACATTACATTACATTTAGGGTGACAGCAAGATAACTTGGGAGATAAAGGCCTTTGCCACCAAGCCTTAAGGTTTGGGACCTAAATTTGATTCCCAGGACCCACATGTTGGAATGAGATAACTGACTCCTACAAATTGTTGTCTGACCTACACACACACACACACACACACACACATACACACACACACACATACACACATACATATACATACATATACACATATATAGATACATAGATACATAAATATATAAATAAATGCAATTTTTAAAAATTTAAGAGTGCCACTGAGGAACTCTCTGACCCTCCTTTGGCTAGTGCCATTTCTTTAGAGGTCATATTCATCTCTGATAAAGTCACTTCTTGTGCTCTGCCATTTTCAGGCTGAACTCTGTTTCAGCTGTTACCTTAGACACCTGGAAAATCATCGCTCATTCATGATATAACTGCAGGGTCACACTCCAGTCACATGACTAGTAGATCAGTCACATGAGCTAGTCTGGCAGTGCCTTCTCACCCACAGTTTTTAAGGATTCTCCTCTTTTGTCTGAGCACAGTGGCTCCTGGGTGGCCTGTGACATTTCTCCTCCTGACTGACTGAATGAGCCACAGCAGGCCCTCATAGGCTATATCTATGGTCATGGTCAAAACAATCCTAGGTCCTACTGAAATACAACAGTTACTGTTAGGTGCTGAGAAAATCCCAAGTACACTGCAACCTCACAATGAAATGAGATGGATCATCACTTCCCACCTCCTCCAGAGAGGGAAGCTGGGATGCAGAAGAGACCCAGAACTGGGGGGAAGGGATGGGGCGGGACATGAAGTCATTGAGTGAACATAGTGAGGGGACTCCTATTCTGTCACCAAAGGCTAGATGTACCCCTGTGGAGAGGAAAACAGTCTCCCACACCTGTGTCCACAAAGGCAACAAGAGTGATGAACTCCCAAGGAAACAGGGCAACCAATGCTATCAGCTGAAAAATACATATTTATTTAACACTTCTTTCTCTATATTTGTCAATTAGAGGTCATGTGTTGCTTTTCTAGATCTCATTATGTATGGTTCTAAGGATGTCACGAGACCAGTGAGGAAAATATTACAATTCCCATGTTATAGTTAAAGAAATTGAAGCAGAGAGGCCCTGCCCACCAGTGACTGTCACAGGCTCATCTTCCATACATGACAGACTTCTCTGTCCTGAGACTCCACCGTCTTTTGAAATAGTACCACCTGAAAAATCTGTAACAACCACTAGAAAAAGAAATTCAGAAATGCAAGAAGCAAGTAAGTTGCACTTCCTGTCAATGGATGTCCTTATTACCCAGTTCTGTGGAAAGACTCTGGACCATTTGAAAGATAGAACTTCTCTATAAAGAACACACATGGCACCATGTCCTGCCTTCTCTCTGATCCCACAATCAACAGTGAGCTTTCAGTACATGGAAAGGCTCATTTTTATTTGGACACCAAGACAAATACACTCTTGGAGTCCCCACTTGCAAGAATCACCAAAGCAGAACCTTCTCTCACCTCTTGGGTGCCTGCTTCTGTGTCAGTCATGGCAACCACGGAGAAGTCCCCATACCGATCCCCGTTGGCATCTATGGACACCTGCCCGGCGATACCTACAGGAGAGGTAAAGAACTCCGAGTTAGAGACTAATGCCTCTGCCTGCCAAGAAAACGAATTAATGGGATTTAAAAAAAAAAAAACCAAATTCATGCCACAGGGAATCACATCAGACTGGGAGCATTTTTGTTGGCATTTGGAAAGACATTGTAATTTCATCTGTGTCTGCATTCCTAAATTCTTAACATTTCTCCATTTAAAAAAGAAAAGAAAAAGAAATAAATGATCTTTGGGGAATACTTTAAAAAAAAAAAAAAAGAATTAAGGCCAATGTCAAAGCAACGTGTTTCATTCTAGAGTTTTGATTTTTTTTCCCCTAAGAAGTAGCAGAGAAATAAAGATATCTTGTCACACATAGGTTGACGTGATCATTGGACAACTCTCATAAAGAAAATCAGTCTGGCCCAGGAGTGGGTGAGTGGTTATCATACAGGCTGCATCAACATACAGGAAAGCTGGAGGCCTGGTTGTTGAGTCTCTGGAGCCAATGTCTAGAGATCATTGCCTAATGTGTGTTCATTCATTGGTTATCCAAACATTTGAAAGATTCCTGGGGGCTGAGTTAGCATTGCAGCAGAGATTAAGTTAGAGCGAATGGATTCTTTGCTCAAGGAAGGGCCTAGACTGAGGATTCAGTTCAGTGAAGGATCCAGTGAAGTGGGTTAAGGTGCTTGTCACCAAACTGGACAGAGGTTTGATCTCTAGGACCCACATGGGAAAAGGAGCAAACTGACTCCCAAGAGTTGTCCTCTGACTTCTACATCCACACTGTGGCACACCTATAGACACACACACACACACACACACACACACAAATAAGATACTGGTCCCCTGAACCTCTCTACAACTGGTATTAACAGGATCATGTTCCTACCGAGAGGACATAGACATAATTGCATGAGATAAAAACACTCGAGGCATCTGCAACAGATACTTAAACGAAGCCAGCTGTTTTCTTCTTCCAGTGCCCCTACTGCTATTATTATTCCTACAGGTTGGGTATCCTTTAGCCGAAGTACTTGGGGCCAGAAGTGTTTCAGATTTCAGATGTTTTCAATTGTTTGAATATTTGCATACACATAAGGAGACATCTTGGGGGTAAGACACAAGTCTAAACACGATAAAACTTAGTTTCACATAACACCTGCACACATAGCCAGAAGGCAATCTTAATACAATATTTTTTTAAAAAAATTGTTTTGCATGAAACAAACATCCATTGTAAGGAAGTTTCCATTGGACACTTAAGGGATTTTGAACTTGGGATTTGAGAATGAAGGATGAAATTTTAAAGTTACCATTATCACTACTGTGCCTTCAAGGTCACAGAAAGCACTTGACAGTGTTCAATCACTCAGGATGACTCAGTACATCAAGGTGGAGTTCAGTAAGAGTAGGAATTATAAAAAACCCCATGAAAGTACGCAGGAGGAAACCTATGATTCAAACCACGTGTAAGTAACTGACCTGGTTTAATTTACAAAGATCCCAAGGCAACAAAAGAACCAGAGAACTGTGAAATTTCTAACGAAGGGTATCTGTGTTTATAACCAGGGCCAGAGAGATATGAAGCTATAGCAAATCAGCCAGAACACAGAGGACCCAACCACCTTGACCAGCCATGATTGATGCTCACAGCAGCCAATCCCCGAAAGGCCACCAGAGAACAATGGCTGATAATAAATAGTGTGTTATTTCGTCTTCGATAACTAAGCAGCAAGATGTGTGCATCAGCCATGTTCTAATTAACAAAAGCCATTCATTTTCTTTGTGGGAGAAGTCTGTGTTGTTCTTAATTCGTGCTTCCATTGATTTGGTTCAATCCAGAAGTGATGACTGTCCCAGCAAAAAGAGTGTCTGCTGAGAAGCATCCCAGGGGAAAGTTCCATCCTCTTGTGTGGTTTGGAGAGGCAGTCTTTTGGGTTTACTGTCCTTTGGGCTGTGGTTTGAAGGTCCACTGATTTTTCCAGACTTTGGGTTACTTTGCTGGAAACAGAATGGAGGTACCATTCATCTACAGTTTTTGTCTTCTTAATACAGGCAGGTTGCAAAGGATACAACTATTATCATATTGTGTATCTTTGGGGACATATAATACTTCAAATAGTATACATATAGTTTGTACATTCATATGTACATATGAATATATATATAGATAGATAGATACAGATATAGATATAGGATTTCTTCTCCAAATATTGTGGCTATCCTAAATCATTCTGTTCAGAGGTATTTGGGATGGTGCGACCTGCTGAGTGTTTTGCAGAGTATTTTATAAAGATTAAGTGGCCCTAGTATTCCAAGACCTCATTACATTTCTAAATGATTGCAATTCTGCCAGGAAATAGGGTGAGAACTCTTGGGGTGGCTGCTTTGCAAAGTGAGACTTCACCTGAGAGTATCAGGCCAAAGGTGAGGTTGTCAGGCTGAGAGCAGAATTTTCCTGTATATCAGCAATGATTCTTTCTACCCCAGTTTCTGTTTGCTTAGAGTGGAGCTTGTGTCCTGTGCCGCAGTCCTGTTTACTTTGTCCCCCTGACCTCTCACACAGAGGAAACACGGCTTCTTCTTGGACCATTTATTGAAGGTCTTCAGAGTTGATCATAGGTTTCGTGGCAATAAAATCCAATTTTGTCAAATAACATCCAGGGTATTTTTTTCTCCTGACAACTTAATGATCACTTACAGCAACCACTAAAATTAAAATTGTTTTTAATGTTAGGAAGGTTTGAGTTTTTCTTTACACATCTACCTTAGAGTTCTTTGAGGGGCTACCTTCAACTGCATTATTATTTAACAAATAAAATAGACTCCAAACCATTGAAATCCAAACTTACCTTGGCATCAATCTTTACATTTTGGACACATAAGGTTATAGTTTTAGACTCAACTATACAATTACTTAAACTCTTGGTGCAAACTAACTGTGTAGACCTCATCCTAAAATGGAAATACCAAGATGGCGTAAGAGAAAATTTAGCGCATGTCTTGGCTCTAAAGAAAACTGTATCCCAGCCATTGTGGGCACCTGCCCTTCTCTCAACAACCTCCTTCACTGGTGCCTTTCAGCATCCCCAACTCTGGCTCCTGTCCCGCTGTCAGAAGACCAAGAACAAATGACCACACCATGTAGTGAGTAATAGCTAAGAATGGGATGTGCTTGACCAAGGTTGTGTCCCCACACACCAGTTTTTTGGTGTATTGTGCACAACTTCTGGGAAACTTGACTTTGTCCTAATATGCCCCCTGAATTACCCTATTTGATTCCTGCCCCTCTTTTCTTCCAGCTGAAGCAGAAAGAGGCAAATCGAGTTCACCCAGAAAGCTTACTCACCCCCAAGCCACTACTACTTGTCTAAAATGAAAGCCGTCACTCATGTCTAGAGTAAAACATGGTGTTCACTGAAAATACCATAGCAAGTTAGCAGTAGCTACCATAGCTACTACCCAGACAACCCTATCTGGAGCTCCACTCCTCCTTACCACCCTTCTCTTTAATGTCTATGGATGAGCTGAGGCCATAGAACATAAAGGGGACTATCTTGTACTCCTCTCTCAAATGTACACTTGGCTTTGTTCTTGTCATTGAAAAATTTCACTTTTCAATGACAAGTTTAACAAATAAGAATAAGCATACTCCAGGCCACTCAAGGGCTCACTGGACAAGTTGGCACAGTGCAGAAATGAAAAGATGCTTTTCAGTTAACTTACTTTTCAGCCTCTTACAGAGCAAATGAGGCACTAAAGGATGCGTGTTCCTGCTTCCTGTTTCCCCAGTCTACACCCTGTGTTAATGGTTCTCACAAGATGCTCACCAGTGAACTACAGAACTACAAGCTATGTGCCACACAACAACCATAAGGCATACCGCCTGCCTGGAGACTAAAGCAGCTTTCTATTTCAGCAGGATTCCCAGGTCTATGGGTCCATTGCATCTTGAACACTGGGTCCTATCACACTGTCCCATATACACATAGTCACATAGACCTCCCAGCTCCTCAGTTGACAACTTCCTACCACACACACTCAGACCACAATAAAATTGTAGCATTGTGTCCTAAACAAAATGACTTCAGTCACCCTCAGTTCTCACTCCACTGCCACATTCAGAGACCTTTCCTTGACCACTCTAAGCCAGCAGTCCCATCCAACCCCTTTCTGTATCTCCCTACCCTGCCTTATTTTACAGTGCCTGGAAAGGGCTGTGTGTTTACTGCCTTTCCACACACACACATTTGCACATGAGGGAAACTGGTTATGGGCAACATCTTCACTTCAATGTTTCATCTCCTGATCCCTGAACAATGCCTGCTCCATCATAGATGCCTGTTGAATGGATTGGGTGAATGAACATAAAGTTGATAGCTGACCTAGGAACTAGCTCAGACAAGTTTGGGGTGTTAGTGAGGTGAGTCTTATATGTAGTATTAACAAAAATATAGATTAGCAGAATTTTCTGTAAGATGTTCAGCAAATAGCCAACCCTGAAAACATACTCACAAGTAACGTTATATTGACTGAACAGACTATATTTAGGAGAGAGAGAGAGAGAGAGAGAGAGAGAGAGAGAGAGAGAGAGAGAGAATACATACATATATGAATATAAGTTCATACATATAAATGCATGCAATAACAACTAGTGAAAATAAGGAGGCATGAATGTGAAGAAGAACAGGAGGGGTATATTTGAGGGTTGGGAGAAAGGAATGAAAAAGGAGAAATGTAATTATAACCTCAAACTTTTTTATTTAAAAAAAAAGTCATTTAGTTTAGCAACATTCACTGTACTTTATAAAGCACCAACATATGTCAAGACCCCAAATCCTTCACATTAGGAAAGTTCTCTGTGAGAAATATCCACAAAACTTCAACAAGGTGTGCAAGAGCCTATGACACCATATTGCAGAGCGGCAAGGACTGTAACCAACTGAAGTATCCACCAGCCAAAGATAGATTAGAAGCTGGGGCTGGGGGTATCTGTAATCCATGTGCTCTGGAGGCAGAGGCAGGAGGAATGCCTCGTGCTTAAGGCCAGTCTGGTCTATATAAGCAAGTTCCAGGTCAGCTGGGACTTCATAGCAAGACCCTGTCTCAAAACAAATAAACAAAAAGAATTACAGAAATTCTTATATAGCCATAAGGCAGAACCAGCATTTCTCATTTTAAAACATATTAGATCTATGAGTGCCTGTATGAATGTTTCTGACATACAAAAAATTAAAAGTGTAACATAAATAAAACTACCATGAAAAGTGGGGTTGACAACGAGATCCACTTTATAGAAGTTTTACAGGGTCTATAACGATGCTACCAGAAAGCGTAGCTCACCTCTGGGGTCATCTAGAAAAAGGTCGTTGTTAGCGATTGCATTGGGGAGAGGAGACGGGAGAGGGAAGCAAAGCTTTCCCTTTTAACTTTGTACTGTTGTATTCTGTTTAAGTTTCCTAGCCAAGCATAGTCTCATGTTTAAACGTCAACATGGTTGTTGGAATGATGAGATGGTGTGCTTTTTGTTGATGTTATCCTTACACGTTTCTGCCTTTTCATTGTTGTTGTTGTTTTTAAATATTCACTGTCTTCAAAGTAAAATAAAAGCCGAGGGCCTGGACCTGCTAGGCAGCTCTCAGCACTAGGTTGGATACGACAGCTAAGATCGTCTGCATTCCACTAAAGCCAACATGGTCTGATCGTGGGAACGTACACCCAGGTTAACAGGCTTTTAAGCCTGACTGCAGATCCTTCACACTGATGGTTCTGCAATGAGTAACACTTACATTGAATGCCATTTTTAAGTACACAGGGCTAGGTAGATGTCTCTGTGTGTAAAGTGCTTACTGTGTGGGCATGAGGACCTGAGTTCAGACTCTCAGCCCCATGTAAAAAGCTGTGCACAGCTGATCATAGCTGCAATCCTTGTGTTGGCAGAGGCAGAATCAGGCAGGTCTCGGGGGCTTGCTGCCCTGTCAGTCTAGCCAAGCAGTGAGCTCTCGATTCATTGAGAAACTCTGCCTCAAAAACTAAGTTGTAGAACAATAAGACCTGACATGACTCTCTAGCTTACACACACGCACACACACACATATACATCATAGTACATTTGTTATTTAAATAAACAGGAACAGGATCGTTTTTATGCAGTAGAATTTGCTCAAGGCATGTCCACATGCATTGCATTATTTGGCCTTCTGTTCACAAGACTGTGACTTGAATTGACTTATTATCCTTACTTTAAAAATGGAGAAGCTACAGAACCATAGCATATATGCAGAGGGCCTAGGTCAAACCTATACAGGCTCCCTGAGTATTGGTTCAGCCTCTTTGGGTCCCTGTGAACCCAGGTTAGTTGATTCTGTGGATTTTCTTGTGGTGTCATTGACCCCTCTGACATCTTCAATCCTTCCACTCTTCCACAGGATTCTCAAAGCTCCTCCTCATGTTTGACTGTGGTTCTCTGTATCAGTTGCTGGATGAAGCCTCTCTGATGTAGCTTGGTCTTCTTTAGGACTCCTAATAGTGAGAGTGGGGGCTGTCGGTGACTCTTTTGCCTGCTTTTGGTACCCTTTTTGTCATACTAAGTTGCCTTAGGCAGCCTTAAAGATGAGGGGAGGTGCCTAATCTTATTGCAACTTAATATGCCATGTTGAGAGGCATCCCTGAGAGGCCTGCGCTTTTCGAAAGGGAAATGGAGGAGGAGTGGATTGGAGGAAGAAGGAAAGTGGGGAGAGGAACTGGGAGGAAAGGAGAAGGAAACTGTGGTTGTGATGAAATATATATGAGACAATCTTTTTTAAATGGAGAAAGAAAGACTCTAGAAAGGGTCTTAGTTCCAGCAGATAGCAATTACAGAAGCAGCAGCTTATTTGGCCGCTGGGCTGCTACCATGGAAACCGAATCCCTACCTTCAAATGTCCTGTTCCAAGTCTGTTGGATGATTTTTCCCCCATCCTTCTTGCTGTAGCCAGCTCTCAGCACTTCATGTAAAGCCAGAACGTAGAGGAGGATGGCATCATGGAACCCTTCAACAAACATGTTCACCTGCAAAGGAAACCCATTGGGTGAGACTGAGACCCCGGTGATTCCTGTTCGTCAAATGATACAAGCAAGCAAAATGGTCTGACCTGAGTCTGGAAGTCTGCGAGATCCATGACGGAAGTGGACAAAAACTATCAAAAGTAACTACCAAGAGTCTTATGTTTTCCTGGCACTGACTGAGTAGGAAAAACCCTAACTTTGGGAATTTACAGAGCAAACAAAGCATTACAGAAGGCAAAGAAACAGTTCTGTTGTCCAGGTTAATCATTCCAGGAACTTCAGCCCTTTACAGATAGTTTTTTCCATGCAATTAGCCTTCTTCCCACATTTTCTGTTAGCCTCAACATGAGTCTGACTCCCCAGTGAAGTCTGCTCCAACTTCTTCAGCCCATATGATCTCCACACTCTTGAGTGTAGGACACACCAACAGAACAGTAGTAACTGGGCAAGCTGAGGCAGAAAAGTCAGTAGTTTGCGGCCAGCCTACACCACATGGCAAGACCTTGTCTCGAAATATTAAAAACAAAAATTTAGGCATCCATTTGTTCATACTCATCAAAACTGATGTCAATTGCTTATACATACCAATATACAAAAAAGGAACAGAGTACTTCCTGCCTGCTTAGGGAGTGGGGCCCTACTATCTTCTGAATTGGCAATAACACCTCAGTCTCTCTTTCCACCCTCTGCCAGAATCCAAGGACAGAAATGGATGCAGTCTTGACTGTTGGTATGTCCCATCTGATCTCTGGTTCCAGTAAGGTATCTCTGGTTTCCATAAACTTAGTTTAATAAATTGAAACACTGGCCATTGAACTTAGGGAAGTTGCTGCAAGGTGTTATGTTTTGTTTCACCTGTACCTATGCACGTGGTGTAGAACCTTCCTCAAGGGTAAATGCAAGAATCATGGCATAACAGCGTAAAGTGTTTGGTGCATATCAAGTATTGAACCACTAGTCTGTGAGCCACATGTTGTTCTCAGTAGTGTGCTAGAGTCTTATTCAGGACACAGTAAGAAGACATAAACCAGAGCAGTTAGTACTGTGCATTGGGTAGATGATGGCGAGAAGTTCAACAGTGGCAGCAAATGCTGAAATGGGTTTTGAAAATGAGCAGGCGTGTGGAAGGGAGGAAGGTTTGTAAAAACACTATGACTAGACTAACATGGTGAAAGCATATCCTGACCACCACTCCATTAAAAGAAGCAACTGCTCTGCTGAGCTGAGGCCAGAGGGATGAGACCACATGGAGACAACCAGTGGAAACTCAGACCTCTGTGAACTCCTCCCCAGGGAAATTGGCCTGTCCGTAGCAGGCACTTGATAACTTGACTTGTATTATTTCCTCCTTAGAAAGACTGTAAGTCCCCTTTGGTAGGTCCTGCTTCCACATGTATACCATTACAGCACAAACTGGAGTGAAATGATCAAATACCATCTTGAAACGCTAGGTAATTTGCAAACTGTATAAAAGGCACAAAATAGTCATACCTTGTTTCAAGAGTTGGAGTTAATGACAGAAAGCCAAGAATGAATGGGAAGACATTCCTCAGAGGGCCTGGGAGGTGCTTGTGTGAGAATTGGCCTGCCCAGTTATATTAAAGAGGAACACACAGGAAGAATGCCTCCACCGACCTTCTGTATGGCCCAACTTAAGGGCATATACACAGATGGTGTCTCCCGGTTCAAAGACACACTCACCAATGGTATCACTTCTTCCATGGGCACACCCACAGAGGACAGCTCAGCACCCAGTTTCATCTGTCCTCATCCCACCCCTCCTTGAGTCCTGTTTTGCATTATAGGAGCAAATATTTCAGATCTGCCAAAGCCCAGAACCTGGGCTACTCCACTCTGCCCTTTGTAGCTGTGTGCCTCCATCGTTGGGCCTTCAGTTCCTCATCTCTTCCTTAAAGAAATAACAGTGCCTTCCTCCTGGGGTTGCTATCAGGTTAAAAAATGTAAAAGACTTCAAACAGTTTCTGCCACCGTCACCCCTGTTAGCTTTTATTGCTGCGATTGTCTAGAGATGAGGAGTTTTAAACCCAAGGATTCAGCTTAGATTCTAATTCCGAGGAGCAGCATCCAATAAACAAGCTTTTATTGACTCATTTTATTCTTGATGGAAAGTAGGGCTCTCCTTTCACACCCTGGTACCCCAGACAGATCTTTTACAGTACCATGATCCCAATGCCACCTAGTAGAAAGCATAGCACTGTCCAAGCTGGTCTATCCCACTGACCCTCAGGGCATATAGGACAGGTTCAAGGTCACAGAGATCTTGTAGTTGACAACTATCTGGATCTATAGTTCACTCCTAACTGGGACTCATCACTCAACCCCTCGATCTCCAGATTCCTCATTTGTGAAGTGTAAGGCTTAATTTAGCACTGGATCACCTCACAGAGATTTTCTGGGGATTAAAATGAAACACCCACGGAAGTTCCTGAGACCATGAATGCCTTGGGTTCTTACTGTTAGCTGCCAAGCTTAAGTCTCAGAGACACTGTTTTCTTAGGCAGAGAATGCTATAGAAATAACATCTACCAGTCAGAGATAATTTTCGGCTGCCTTGAATACGAGCATTTAATTTTCCAAAGGAATACAAATTCTTCACTTAGACCATGAAGTCATCACGATTTGAGAAAGCAGGCATGCTGATGAATTTTAATAAGTAAGAGTTTAGCTGTTAAATTTAATTCTCAAGACATGGGCATGCTTCCCCTACGGGTCTATTCTTCTCTTTTATAACTTTATAGAAACCACCTTGCTACAGGGGAAAGGCATGGAATCCTAGTTGGAACATGTAAAGGAGGTAAGTTCCCAAAGAGAGCACTAGACTTCAAATCTTCCTGAAGAGATATCAGCTGCTAACTGTTGGCTTCCAAAGAAAGAGTTGTGTTCTTCAATGCCATAGCCACTATCGAGTTGCCCATGCTCCGGGAAACAATGCCCCACCCATGTTCATGTAAGCAATACTTACATGAGGACTACCATTGTTTTGCTCAGTCTTCCTGAGTTTTGTTCTTGCATGCAATGCTCTGTAAAGTCCTGCTCCTGGGGCACCTATGGCATCCCTGCTTAAAATATGACTTGAGTTCCAGGACCTCCTCACCCTGTTAACTGTGTCTTCTTCTTCTTCTTCTTCTTCTTCTTCTTCTTCTTCTTCTTCTTC